TATCGTGAATAGTACTAGCAGATCATACCGGGGGCGCGCCTCTGTCTTCCCAGCATGGTTGGAATAAAATTCCAAAAAGCAGCTATTTAAAGAAAAGAGAAATATAGGAACAATTCATCCTCATAGACGAATTTCTACTGTAATGTAAAAAAAAAGTTACTGTCGTGACAAGCACTAATAATTTCTTCCAGGAGGCGCGCTCACCTCTGGATGGTAGAAAATTTTTTCGAAAAAAGTATCCAAAAACAGCTATTTAAAGAAAAGAGAAATATTGAAAAAATCATCCTCTAAGACTAATTTTCTAATGTGATCAATAACATCATCCTGAGCTCGAAAATCCATTACTGGATTTAGGCTGCCTCAAGAGTTTTCCTCAATGTTTCCCGGTCCTGAGCAGCCTCCACCCGTTCCTGATTCCATGTATTCTGGCATCAGCACTTACTCCATTTTCAATCTCAGTTTCGTTCTGTCCACTTTTCTTTTTCTAACCGGCTCCGTGCTTAGCAGCTTCTTTGGGATTGAGGTCTCGTCCATCAGTACAACTTGGCTCTTCGATCCCAGTCTTGCTATCCGGATATATTTCACCACATTCGGCTCCCTGTATAAATTAGCTAGTTCTTGGTTGCGTCTAATTCTCCATTCACCATAATCCTTAACTGGGCCAAATATCCTCCTAAGGACCTTCCTTTCGAAAACTAACATTTTAAGCATATGTTTATAGAAAAGAGAAATATAGGAAAAATTCATCCTCATAGACGAATTTTCTAATGTAATATATAAAACAAAATATTATCGTGACGAGCACAAGCGAATTCTGCAAGGAGACGACTTTCTCCCTGAGTGGTGGTAAAAAAATTGATGTAGTTTTTGGGCCGCCATGAGGTGCAAAGGCTTGTGCTCCTGTCGCAGTTTGCTCCTATTGATTCCGAACTGAAATATATCTCGCAGGTGAAATACAGGATGGACGAAAATTTATTTTAAAAAATATGAACTTCATTTATTCTTTCGAACTACCTTTTATTCGAGCACAAGAAAATACGGGTTTTCTCCCGGACCCAGTTTTTATTCAGTTCCAATATATCTGGATGCATTGCAACCTCAAGCAACTATAGTCTCCTTGAAGAATCCATGCGATTCATAACACTGGTCACGATAATAATTTGTACATTTCTCATTAGAAAGTGTTGTTCTTTTCTTAAAATAACTGCTGTTGGGAACATTTTCAGGAGGCAAGATACTAATTATTTGGTCTACGGTTTGATCAGAATCTGATCATGATCGGAATCAAAATTATTTATGAGTTTTTGTCCTTGGAGAACTCATTTCCAAGCTGTAGGACCATTTACTGTAATCTTTCTCAGATTTTGGCAATGATGGTAAAAAATAGCGTTCATTTACCGTGGTTATCGATCATATCACTTAATCAAATTATTAAGTTTAGGTACTCGTCCGAAGTACAATTTGACGTTCTTTAATTTCTAGTTTTTAGTTCCTAATTAATAAGTAAATTAGGAGTGGTTGAATACCGTGTCTTAAGTAAAAATATTTTTTTTTCAATAATGCCGCTAATTTTTTTTTTATTTCCAAAAAAATCATAATATGATTATATACAAGTAAGAAATAACTACCAAGGGTAAAAATATGGAAATAAAAATTAAATTAATATCCTGTACTATCGCTATGAACAATGGCAGGTGTATACCCTGCTCTGTTTTTTATTAAATCATTGAGATTTAATTATTTTTAAAACTTAAAATAAAAATGCGTGATACTTTTTATAACAGTATATTACAACTTTTGAGAGAGAAAAAAATTGTTGGTAAATGGAGAAAGATTCACTGGAATGGCTGGTCCTTAAAGAGTTAATGTAAAAAAAATCTTACATGTGTGATGCAATGTTAGACTTATATTTTTTTAAAATATTACAATAAGAAAAAACAGTTACAGGTATGTCAGAAATGTTAATAATGAGAAAACAATAAGAATTAAAAAAAAGAATAATAGCTTTATTAAAAACTTTATTTACTTAATTATAATACATACATTAAAAACATTTTGCTTTTGTATTATTTTTTAATATGTTTCAAAATATTCACAAACAATATGCTTACAAAAAAATACAAATTGGATGAAAACTACATGAGAAAATAATTATTTTCATGGATAAATAAATCATAAAGAAATATTTACATTTAAATCAGGACTCAAATAATACATTAACAATATGAGATGATTTATGTGTGTTCAAGAATATCTATGGTAAATTGATACTCTATGGAACTGTTTTTCCTTTTAAGTGGAAGAAAATGATTCACTATTGTATAAAAATTAAAGGAAGAAATAATCCCACACTTCAGGTACTATTTGGAAATTTTCTAGAAAAAAAAACAACAAAAAAAAAAACTGCAGTTCTTCGTAATGAAAAAATGTACAAAACATACATTATATATATTGTCGTTTGAAGAAACAGCATAGGGAAATATAAACGAAAAAACAATTAAATACACTTGTTGTTTAAATCCATATATATATAAGTAAATATAAAAACATTGAATAGCAACAGCTATTCAATATTTTAAAGTAATAAGGCTGATATAAGTCAATATCCCAGAAACAAAATTAAGACTACAACTGTTATGAAGAATAGTATAAACACTATTTATTGATTTTAAGCCATGAGGTCGATAATTAGCTATAAATGAATGGACAAGAACCAAAGAGAAATTTTAAAAGAAAAGATAAATAGCAAATGGAAATAAGATAAGCATAAATTGGTAATGGTAAAGGGATAGAGAGATCAACATACTAGGTCATACTACAAATTAAAGGAAGAGGATTTGTGTACAAGTGGTATGGATCTTTATACAGGGTTATTATCAGCTCTATGATGGCTCATAAATTATTATTTTGGACCTCCGTTCCAGATAATTAAAAAAATGACAAGAGGAAGGTAGTGAATAGGTTTCACAATAGTGTGATATAGTATGTGAATTGCCCAATAAAAATGAATTCTTAACAATTTCAACTCTAATTACAATTTAAGTAAACTACTTACTTATATTTTTTAAACAGTTAATTACATGTAACCCATATCACTTTGACTCCAATTGGGTATTTTAATCACCTGGTATAACATCCAAACCTTCAATATTCACAATAAATGAATTATCAAGAAAATTTTCAAAAAAATTATACAATTAAGTAATCAACAATATGAAAAAAAAAATGAAAATCACATCAATAAATAAACATTGGTTAATTGATTACTTAATAGAATTAAAGCACAACTGATAAGACAGCAATGATCTGAAATTTCTAAATACTAATTTATCAAAAAAGGTTTTTTTTTATTACTTATACTGGAAAAACAATAGTATTAATTATCTTGTTGGATTTTAGATGTGCTCTTTTTTTATACTTAAAAGACTGAGCATAAACATGGAAGAAAAACAACTGCTAAAACATTTTTTACAATTTTGAGAAAATATTGAAGGAATTTAGGGATTGCTTATCAAGCTCTGCCAGTAAAAACTATGATAATAATAGTAAGGATATTTTTTTTAAAAGTTGGAATTATGCATTTAGAACACTACAATGCCCATTTTTATTAACCTTCATGTCAATAAAATCAAAACAATCCTTATATTCCAATTTCATAGAAAGAAGAAATTAAAAAGGGCCTATTATTAAATTACAAGTTCTGTAAACCTGTAAAAAATTTATTTAAGTAATATTAATACAAAGCGTTTCAAGGAATTATTATTAGTAACTAACCAGATATCATTTAAGTAATTTTGTATCAAACAAAAGTTAAACAAATGGTATAATAGGCCACCAATCAAATTCAAATAACATATGCATATATATATGTTTTCATATATATTATATGCATTCATATATACAATAAAGATTATTAGTTCTTTTTTAAAAAAAAATAATAAATTTTCATTAATTTAAAGATATAAATTAAAAAATATCTGCCATGGCACAAAGAAGCGCAGCTTCCTTACTATACCTACAGCCACAGTTACCAGTATTCAAGGATGAAATATACAAATATTCGATCAAGCTTCTTAGGATCATTCCTCCAGTCAACAATCTTTGTGCAATATTTAATTCACCAGAAAAAAAACTATAACAGGAAAACACAGACAAAAATATATAATAATAAAAATATATATATATATATATATATATATATATATATAAACACACATATAACTGAAATATTATCAAGCAGAAAGAGCAATAGCTGATAACGTGAAATGTTGAATATTTTAAATATATATATTTTTTTTATTATACGTTTTTATAATTAAAAAATTTATATATATATATATATATATATGTATGTATGTATAAAACAATGATAGTTATAACTTTTTGTTGTATTATTTTCTTCAATTTAGAGGAACCAAGAAATAAAATATAAAACCCATACCACATTAAACGGGTATATAAAACTAACCTAAATAAATAGAGAGGAAAGGATAATGACCAGCCCCTTAAATTTCTAATTTATAATCATCCTGGTAATAAATAAATAAATAAATTGGAATGGAACCAAAGAATTACAGCTAAAATAAAAAAGCAAAGGAATAAAGATAAAAAATTAGTTACTTGAAATAATACTACATTAAGAGTATCAAATTGAGTAGCAACAGACCAACTTTAATGATAATAACAACACAGTTACTACCACTAGAACTAAATAACAATCTTAACTGCGGTTCACTCAAAATTTTAAATATCACTTGTATACCTTAATTTATAATCCAGTCATATAATTTTAGTAGCAGCTTTAGTTTGAAGGAAAGTGACAACCTCCAGAAACCACTATTAAAATCTCTAACTACAAAGTCTATGTATTAAATAGAAAAAACATTGAAATATTCTAATAATTACCATTTTGTGAAAATAAATATTTCATTTTTTTGTTTAGGCAATTCAACCAATAACTTAATTTAATTAATCCTTATAACTTGATAAATAAATTTACAGGGAATTACATTTTAAATTTAATAAATAAAGAAAGCCTTAAAATGATTGTAGACTCTGTAAATTACTATGGAATGCAACAAGACTAATAGTAATTATACATATAACTACTTTAAAATTAAAAATAAATAAAAATATGAGAAAAAACAAAACAAAAATAAATGAATTCCAGTTCATTTTTATACCAGATAGATCATAAAAAATAAATAAATAAAATGAAAAAAATAATAATAAAAAATCAACCCCCTACAATATTGTTCCACCCTGTGATTACTTAAACTTAGTTTTAACTAATATTTAAAAATGTATCTTTTCTGTTTATTATGATCTAGAGCGTGATCTTGAATGTGAATGTGATCTGGAGCGAGAACCAGAGGTATAACTGCTTCGACGAACAGGTGAATATGTTGGTGATCCCCTTCTACGTGGTGAATAACTTCTACTACGTGATCTACCTCCCCGTTCACCACTACTTCTATCTTCACTTTCTCTACCATAACCTGAATAATCCTCTTTGACTCGAATATACGATGTTTCCCCCTAAAACAAAAAATATCACATTTTAGTTTAGACTAATTTTTTCATATGTTCTAATAATACATGTTAAGTTAAACGATTCCACAGCTTATATAATTCAGAATGACTACATCACATAAATTCCAGAAAATAAATAACATGATATATTTCAATAATTTATTCTACAACCCTCCCCATTCTTAAGCAACATTAGAGGTACTTTTATGGGTCAAACTAATTTATAAAGGTGTGAGATTAGATAGATAGATAATAGTTTGTGACTGATTTGAATTCAATAAATTAATAAAAGAACTCAAAATACAGATCCATAAGAATTCTTAAGTAAGGAGTATGAATATGTATTTAAAATCTTAATACTATTGTATTATTACAGAATCATTCACAAACCGTCTTTCCATCCCTTCTTTTTCTTTATGGTTGAGGATGAAATACCGTTACCTAAACCTGCAAGGAGCTCTAACAGCCAGTTAAGTACTAACAGTAGGTTTCAACAACTGTTTATTTCGAAGTTGTAAAATCAGACTACAATGAACATTGATCTCGATGCAGGGTAAGTATTTTTATGTGTTTATATTATTTTTTTTTATTTTTCATGTTTTTGTTTCCTTAAGTCCTATAGTTAAAGCACACACATCTTAGTTTTGATAAAACAAAATAATTATAGCTACATAATTTAGGTGTAAAAACTCAACAACAAATATGTCAAACTCAGACTTGGAAATAACTTTTCTAATTATAATTTGTGTAAGATTACAAATTGTGATCTCTCTATAATTTTTTTTTAAGTAAGAAAACTATGTACTATCCTTGGTAAAGCAATGGTGGTCTTATTTATTAGCAATTTTCAGAAATTATTTACACGATTTTTAAGAAATTCTCTCTTTCCTTTTTTCCAACTTAAAGGAATCTGTTGCGATCACAGGTAAAACAGTAGGGTAATTGCTTGTTTATATTTAGGAACAATTTAGAGAAATCTTTTATAAATCATATCACACTCATATAAAATATATAAATCATGAAAAATGGGGGTGTATATATAAAGAATCATTCTCCTATAACCTGAATTCCTTTTTACTTTTTGTTCATTGAAATCATTATTGTAGTATAATTTGATACAGTTTGATTCTTACTAAAAAATATATTTTAAAATAAAATTTTATCAAATATTTTGCGACTAAGAAGTTCTATTCTTTTTTAGGAAAAAAAAAAAGTCATTTGCAAGTGATCTCACATTTAAAGAGGCTCTCAATATCCTTGAAGGAAATGAAGATTCTGTTATAATTTATGAAAGTTATATTCAAGAAGCCGTGACTGGCATATTCATTGCTCCGCCTGAACCAAATATTCTCACCAATGAGGATAGTACTGATGAAGACAGGGAAGAATTCATTGGCAATCTTCCTGCTAGACAGTTAACTAGTGATGCAGAAGTTGTTTTAAGAAATAATCTGTGCCTTGGTGAAACATTTAAATAATCACAACATGTGAAGAGTAGAAAAATAACATGGATTGGATGTGACTTACAAAATATTTCTTATAAGTTTCCAATGAATCTTATGAAAAATTCAAAGATATAACACCTGTAAAATGTTTTTTTACAGAAGAAATTTTTAAATTTCTCACAGAGAAATCAAAGCATTTATAGGCATATTTTTATTGAGTGGGTATGTTGTTTAGCCAGTAAAAAGGTTTTATTGGAAAATAAAGGAGTATATTAACTATCTTTTAGTTTCAAACTGCATGAAAAGAGACAGTTTCATACAAATAATGAAATTTATGCATGCTGGGGATAATACCAAGCATAAAAATCAAGGCTAAATGAACAAGTTGTGTCTATTCATGAATATTTTAAAAGAAAGTTTTTCGAAATATTTTATTCCTTGTTAATGTTAATATTTTAACCCTAGATTATGATGAATCAATGGTGAAATATTTTGGCTGTAATGTTTGGTGCCTTATACACAATATCTGGCTATCTGATTGACTTCAAAGTTTGAAGAGGAAAGAATCAGGCTGAAATAAAAATATGATGAGACCTTTGGAAAACTGCAACTCCTCTGGTTCAACTACAGGATAATTTACTTGAAGAAGAAAAAAAAAATTCTTACAATATACAGGGTGTCTGAGTTCTTAATGACTGAACTATGGGAGGTGATTTTAGACAAAATTTCCAACAAAAGATTTCCTTTTATGTATGGCACGATTTCAAACGGAGGAGTTAAGTCTAATTTTGTCTTTTCATAAGGTGGTCAAGTTTTCTCTTTCATAGGAAGCGATAACACAAAAATGATCTAATTTAGGTAATTAAAAATTGCTTCATAGTAAATTAAACAAAATTTCCTTAAAATACAAGTAGAGTTTGTCTTTATAAAACATAAGATTATTACAAAACCAAAATGAAGCCTCAGAAAATTGGATTGTCTAAACGTGGTAATGACCTCAGCTTTGAATTATGGACTATACATCAGATCATGGAACGTACGTAGTTTATACAGACCAGGAGCTGCAAAAACAGGAGTCAAAGAATTAAAAAGGTATAACATATTGTTACTATTCAAGAGGTAAGGTGGCCAGATGGAGGCAAAATCATTAACGACGGCGATACACTATTCCACTCCGGAAAAAACGATAAAAATGCGACAGCTGGCACGGGATTTATAGTTTGTCCAGCAGCAAGAAAATCGACCATAAACTTCAATCTGATGATAAACGAAAGGATTAGTGGATTACGATTTAAAGGTTGTTGGTTTAATATCACGATAAATTAGATAAGATTAGAACATATATAAATATATATATATTATGTGGGACTGAGTAAATACACTTTAAATAAATTGACTCACCTTGTTTATTATTCTTCAATTGTGAGGCCTATAGGACAACTAAATAAAAGGACTATTCACTCCTGTCTAACAAAACAATTTATTCTCGAAAAACCTGATAATTAAAAGTACTATGTTTAAACATAAGGATGTTCATAAATATGCCTGGACATCAGCGGATTCGCAAACATGAAATCAAATCGATCATGTTTTGATACAAAAAAGAAGTATAATTAATGTACGATCAATTAGTAATCGTTAGTAATTGCAAAATTTTGACAAAAGCTTATACAGGATAGGCCAGAACCCCCTATTGTGCACAGGGTTCAATTTCGTGTTTACCCTTATTTTGAGACCAAATCCAAACAATCAGTTCCGGTTACTAGAAGAACTTATAGTTTCGCCCATTTCATCTTTCTTTGTGCAGAGGGAATAATGCATTCAATATTAAAATTTCCTATTTATTTATGATATGGTCCAACTTCCAAACAATTTATTCCGCAATTTCATAACAATAAGTTTTACTAAACAACCCGGCATCTATTCATTATATGTAGTTCAGATTAGGTATATATTATTTTTTAGGTATATATTATTTTATTGATATGACTCATTTGCTGGAAAGTATATACAATTTGAAGTACCTCTAAGAATCAGTAAATAGACAAAACAAAGTGTTAAATTGCAAACGTTAAATAAAAAATTCAAGATATTCAGCAAAGTATTTTTAATTAAGTTTTATTATTATAATTATATCATTTTTACAATAGATGTCTACTTAAACGACCTCCGTATAGAATAAAGTAAGTTAAATAAAAAAATAAAATAAAATAATAAATTAAAAAAAAATTGTTTAATTTTTTTTTACAATTAAATGATTGCATTAATAATTGTTCGTTAATAAAACCAATATAATGTACCAAAAACAAAAACGTTATTATATCACTATAACTAAGCCATTTATGTGTACAGAATGGTGTGGTAGAGGCTTGTAGGCACCTACGCCGGCACCGCTTTTCTCCCGCATAAGTGCATTTTCTACGGAACTGCTTCAAATATTTTAAAAAGTAATCAGTGTTTTAGAAAGAGAAATATATTCTCCAGATGTTTTATTTCAGCACATTTTGCGTTATTGTTGGCCGTTTAATTACAAACGACGCTTTATTTTCAACTTGAAAATTTTGTTAAAATTTTTGACTTTACTGGTGTTTTTTATTGCCTAAGCCAATTATTTTTTAATATTTGTTCATGTTTCTTATTCCTGACTATTCAGCTTTAATAAAAGACCAACCATGAGGAAATTAAGCCAAGTGCTGATTCTCAGTGACCAAAAAACTAACTAAAGTCAAAGTCGTCAATCCGCCATCTTTGGACGCCATTTTGGGGCAGTGCGTTCACTTTTTTTGTGGGAACATTGGCTTTTTTTAAATAAATAGTTACAAGGAAAACAACGATATGCAATTTATAGGGATGTGGGGGGGGGATGCACGATAGGGGGTCTGGCCCACAGACTATTAATATAAAAAAGAGAAAAGAAAACCGTTTTGATTTCGAGAATTTTAATTTGGAAAAATGAAAAAATTTATCAATTAGAACTTCGAGGACCGTGAGGATATTAACAAGTTATGAGTAGAGATCAGGGATAATATTAAAGCGGTCAGTAACTCGTGTCTAGGAAAAAGGAAAATAAGAATAACTAACCGTGGTTTGATGAAGATTGCTTAAACATGTGCGAAAAAAGAAAAGCCGCTAAATTAAAAGCTCTAAATAATCCTAGCGAAGACAATCTGGGATACTTCTGAACCTCAAAGAATGAAACGTCAAAATTACTCAAAAATAAAAAAAAGGAGATCTTAAAAATAAAATCATTGAAATAGAAACTAACAGAATTGAAAATAAGAGACATGTACAAAGGTATAAACAGATCATGTAAATGTTTAGGGCCCGTCACGTCTGGAATTAGGGATAACAATAACAATATTCTGACCGACACGGTAGACATATTAAATAAGTTTAAGAGCCACTTGGACAGTATTTTAAATATGGGAAATTATGATCTGTGTCCTCCTCCTGAGTACCAGAGAGCTGAACCTATAAAACGGAAACTATAAAACTAAATACGTCAACGTTAATGAAAGCCGGTAAAGAACTAGGGCTCGAAATAAACATGGATAAGACAAAATATATGGTTACCTGTAAAAATGGCGATATCGCTGGTGATATTGATATAGAAGGTAATATGTTTGAATAAGTGGAGAAGTTTAAGTATCTAGGGTCTACGATATCTAGAAAAAACGAAATTGAAGAGGAGATTAAGGTTAGACTGAAGGTGGGAAATGCTTGTTATTTTTCTGTGACAAAACTACTCAGCTCAAGCATATTTAAAGACTAGAATCAATAAAATTATTATCCTACCTACAGTTCTTTGTGGGTGCAAAACGTTGCGGCTTACATAAAGACATGAGCAACATCTTAAGGTTTTTGAAAATAAAGTATTGCGTAGAATATTCAGACCGAAGAAAGATGAGTTAACCGGAGAGTTCAGAAGGTTGCACAACACCGAGTTGCGTGAACTGTATCCAGTTAATATAATTGAGGAGATTACATCGCGGCGAATCAAATGGGCTTGTAAAATAGTCAGCCTTAGTAACGAAAGAATTCCTAAAAGGTTGATATTTGATGTACCGAAATGGTAAACGTCCGAGAGGTAGACCGAAGTGAAGGTGGGAAGATTGCGTTAAGGCCGATCTGAAGGGACTGGGTTTGGATGGTGAACGGTGGAGGGAGGTGTGTAATAAGCGATTGGTGGTGTCAGCATCGAACCTCCGGGTTCGCTAAGCCTTTTATTATTATTATTAAGATCTTGCAGGATTACTTAAAATAGTATTTTAAACAAATTTATGCACAAAAAAAAATCCGTTTTTCTGACCATCTTTTTGGATTTCAGGACCTGCCATTTTGTAGAAACACTCCAATAAGCTCCCACATTCAAAGGGTTAAATAACTAGATCTAAAAAAAATAAATAAAATAGCAAAATATATGCAAAAACTCTTGTAAAAAATGTATACTTACTTCATGTGATCTGAAACGGGAATCATCCAGTTTTTTAAATGCATACTTCATATCATCATACCGTAAGAATTCAACTACTCCAGTACCATCTTTGAAAACATCTGCAAAACACACATCTCCAGCTTCGCGCATATGATCCTTTAGGTCTTGCCAACTACCAGATGGTGGAAGGCCTAAAAACATTTAATAGAAACTGTCATAAAACAACCATTAATATACATTTTAACTATATTAAAACTAGAAATAAATTTAAAATTTTAAATCTGTCACTTATGAGTAATAAATAATAGTGCTAACTGATTTATATTTATGCTATATCAATAAGACTACTAAAAATAAAATCTTACAGAAGAAGAGTCAAACTCCTAATAATATACATTTACAATATGAATTAAATAATTTGATATTTAAGTATTACTGTACCCCCACAGTCCAAGTCCTTAGATCTAGATCGGTAGATTTCAGGATACTCTTTTAAATGAGAAGTTTGTTGTGAAGACATTAGTTTGTTGTAATTGGAAGGGAAGAAATTCTGGTAGTAATTTATAACCAGAAAAAACAAAAATAGACTGCAAAAAGAACGAATTAGAGGAAATAAAAAGATAAAGCAGTGCCAATGAGTGCCACAAATTTCATATAAAATTGACAGAAAACCATTGAAGCTTCAAATCTTAGAATACAAGGATTGGAATAGATTGTTGCTGAACAAGCAGACCCACACACATACTACAAAGATAGAATAGTCAATTCAACTACTTGCTTGAAGATAAAGTTGAGCCCCTAGATGAAGTCGAAATGGGCGAAGTCAGTAATCATTAGCAATAAATCTGTGTTGTAAAAGGTAAAAATAACACAGTGCTCTGTGAAATTTCCTATTGTGAGAGCTGGGGTGTTCACTCTCCAGTTTCATCCTCTCCCAGGTCTTGTTCTTTCCTCGGTGCACTTTCTCCTCCCTTCTACATCTTCTGTATTCCTCTGTTGCCTGCCTGGTGTACCTTGTCTGTGCTATTCTCCTATATTATTCATTTTTTGTTCCTGAGACTCTCCGACATTCTTTGTTAATCTCTCTCTCTCTCTCTCTCTCTCTCTCTCTCTCTCTCTCTCTCTCTCTCTCTCTCTCTCTCTCTCTCTCTCTCTCTCTCTCTCTCCCTCTCCCTCTCCCTCTCCCTCTCCCTCTCCCTCTCCCTCTCCCTCTCCCTCTCCCTCTCCCTCTCCCTCTCCCTCCCTCCCGTTACTCTCTTATAAATGTTATTCTCTTGAAGGCCTGTATTATCTATCATTATGTGTTCAATATGGTTCCTAGTTCTTCCATCAGCCTCACCTCTGTGAAAAAAAAACAGCAGTGGTTGAAACTATAGAAGTAGAACTATAAATTTTCCTCTGACATTTCTGGTTAGATCATCAGTTTCGCCAGAAGCATTTGAGCCAATTTATATTGGACATTCTGTATATATTATATATCTATGCAGTAAATATGTAAATAAAATTAAATAGTCAAAGACAGTATAATCGCCATGATACATATCGTAAGACAAAATTTCTTTTCAACATACCAGTCACAATAACACGATATTGAGATCTTCGGGCTGGAGGACCTCTTCCTCTCCCACCAATCCCACTCCCCATACTTCCACCACGAGATCTGTATCCACTAGGCCCACCACCTCTGGGAAACTCAACTCTCAGCCTGTAACCATCATAATCATATCCATCTCTAGCATGAACGGCATCTTCTGCATCTCTGAAACATAGTAAACTGTGTAATAAGGAAGTCTCCTTTCTTTAGTAAGAGAACTAATTTCATAACGGAGTTTGGAGAATATGAGCTTGTACCTGCAGCATTAGAGATATTGACAACACAGTTCAATGAGTTTTTAGTTTAAAGTAACATAAAATATAAATAATTAAAAAATCATGTTAATTAACATAAACTTAATATCAGTGATAAGCATTGAAAAGTCTTTCATGGTAGTTAAATTTTAAAATAAAACTGTGTTGAGGTACATTCTCAGACAAGTAAAACGAAAGTAATGATCTGTGGTTCAGCAACATTAAAGCGTGTGGGAAAGAATTACGATATCACCTTGAAATGATACATATAAATTTACAACAATCCTGGTCCTATCCTCCTATTGGTGCGATAGTCCAGACTTCAGTGGTAATATCTCTCTCTGTCTGCTATCACCTCTTCTCCAAAATCCAACTGTTCATCCAAATTCCTCCAAATTTAAAACCCATGTTACTGACAACATTAACATTCCCAATTAAAAATACAAAAATATATGAAAATATGTAAACGAAAAAATATAAAGATGGTTGCATTAATGTTTAGATTTAGAATCATAACTAAATATAATACAGAATAATGATTAAATAAAATTAAAAGAATGATTATGAGATGGTATAAATATGAAGTAAAGTCATTCATTCAGGCAAGAACACTCACATTCATGATAATCTAAAGTTTAATCATTTAAAATTAAATTTTTAACTAAAGTTAAAATTCAAACACAATAATAGTAAGATTAAACTTGTTACTTTATTTATATTTTTTCAAAATACAAAATATGAATTAAAAATGCACAAATATAAGCATATATATATAAATAAAAGATTCACACATCCACACAAAATAATTATATATATGCAGCTATGTTTCCTTTCTTAACATTAATACTATTATTTAAAAAATAATTAAATCATTCATTTATTAATCTCAATGTTTTAAAATGCAATAGAACAGATGTGCAACAAATAGTGATTTAATAAACTAAATAAAACTCCATAGAAAAAGCATTCAACTGATTAAAATTGTATTATTAGTTTAGCTAATAATTACTCATACAAACAAAAATAAAATACATTATGCATAATAAATTTATACATGTTTCTCTAATATCCAGCAATATGTTATAAACTGATTTTATTTAAAAAAAAAAAGAAGAGAAAAATTAAACAATTTCAATTAAATAAATATAAATGTTCCTATATTAAAATATAAAATGTTGAATGAAATAAAACATCATCTAACTCACTAATATTTCAAGCATTATAAAAAAAAAAAAAAATTGACTAAATTTGATAATTAAAATGACAAATGTAGAACCAGTTAATTGTAAAATTTTAAATTTTTATCATTCCCCAACCAAACCAAAATTTAGGGTTAAGGTGAATATTACAGAAAAGTCACAGATATTGCACCATGTTTTGATAATGTATAAAATGACAACAATATATTAATAAATAAGATAGGTAAACACTTAGGTAGTTAAATCATAAATGTTTTAGATAGTGATAACAAAAATTAATTGTTGAAATAAAAAAAATGTTAAGTTTTCAGTTATCTTCTATTAAGACTAAACATTTCATCAATAGAACATTTGGTATTTAACCTAAAAATAAAAAATGTCGCCTTCATTTCCCTACAAAAGTATAACTTATAAAATAACTTTTATTAACTTTATTAAAATGAGGGAATATTTCATTTTAGTAAAAACATCTCCTGATTTTGCCCACTAAATAAATACTAAAAGCTTTTGAGGCAATTCATTTTATAGCCAATTTCATTGATATTAAAGTAATATCTAAAGTATTTTTTTGTAACTTGACATCTTTTTTTTTTTTTTTTAAAAAGAAGAACATTTTCAACCATTATGTGGAGCTTAACATTTTAATAACCCTGAATACGGTTGTGAGGCCGATATATCGGTCTATAAGAGGAGGAGGAAAACAAATTTGAAGAGGAGCACAAAAAATGTCAATTTTACCAATCATGATAAAATAATACCGGGTGGCCGATATATCAGACTTTAGAATATCGTTATCTGCTCAAATTAGGGAATGTGCAGAACCCAAAAAATAAATAGTGGTCAAACTCTACCAATCTCGATAAAATCAGGTCGTAAGGCCAATATATCGATCCTTGCTCAATTTTGTTTATGTCGATCCCTTGACGATTATTTGATCGACACGTTTATTAACAATAAAACTAATATTCCAAGTCTGATTCTTGATAACATATGGTTGTAAGGCTGATATCTCCAGTCTTTGGAATATTGCTATCTGATCAAATAAGAGGAACAGAAGGATCACAAAAAAAATTAAAGAAATAAAAAATTGAAAAAGGTCAAAGTCTACCAATCTCGATAAAATATGGTCGTAAGGCCAATATATCGGTCTTGGCTCTAATTTGTGTTTATTTCGATCTTTTGAAGATTGATTGACACACTTATTCACAATAAAATAATATTTCTAATTAAACTTTATTAATCTCAATAAAATAAATTCGTACGGCCGATATATCAGTTCAATAAGAATCCAAAAAAATGTAAGAAAAGGAACACACACACACACAAACACGAAAATATATATATATATTTAAACTATCAATCTTGATAAAAAAAGGTAGTGAGGCAGGGGTGCCCAGAGAGGCCATCAGAATTTTTGGGGGAAGGCACATTAAGTTTTCGATTTTAAGAAAACTTTTAAACCAGGAAATAAAGGGGAAAAAAAAGGCATTCTGAGGTTTACGTATATATAAAAAAATATCTAAGAGCGCCACATACAAAAAAATTTCCGTATTGCCCTCCTCCCCATATGAAAGCTGCGTTTACTCTTGATTTCCGAAATGTTTCAATTGGTTATGTCTTAATTTAATAGTAAACAAGTAATAAAATGTAGTCTGGGATTACATTTAACAGTACATTTCTAATCTATATTTGGAGTGGTTTACTCTTTCGCGCTTTTCTCATTAATTTATTGTGTTAATTATTTTCTTCATATTATAATAACGGTTTATTTTGATTTAATGGTTTATATTGATATAATTATATGATGTTATTATATTATTATTTTTTTATATACCTGCAATAATCCGGCATTTCGTAATTTGACATTGCGGATCTCGGCAAAGCTTTAACAGCTTTAAAAAATGTCTAAGTGAAAATAGAGTTGTTCTTCTTTCCCTTGTATAGTTTTTAAGAAAAAATCTGAAAAATTTCACATCGTATGGCTAATTGATGTTTAAAACCAATATAATTACCTATGATGAACCAAATAATTTTTGTTTAAAATATTTTTTGTTAAATACTTTAATGAGCCAAAATAATATTTTACGGTTTATTTATTTCCGAAGAGAGGTATCAGAATAGCCTGGGGATGTTTTGTAAAAAAAAATCAATTGAACAATACAAAGCTTGGCCAACTCACTTGTTATAGAGTTAAAATTCTACTAATGCAATGTAAATAAATAAATAAGAGATAAATAAACATAAAGTTTTTTAAAAATAGTTTTATTTTAATCTCAGAAATACTCGAGGTCTTCTTTGTAGGGTATCACTCCAGTAAATGTGTTTTATTTCTGGTTATCTTGCCTAATTATTGCAAAGGATTCATGGATTTTTCTTTGAAGTGATGTTTAAAATATTCAATGATTTCTTAAGTTTTTTTATATTAATTTCTTGAACTTTGTTTTTTCTTTCATTATATATATATATATATATATATATATATATATATATGTGTGTGTGTGTGTGTGTGTGTGTGTGTAGAGATTTTTAATATTTTAAATACTGGAGAAAAGAGGTACCACCTGATACAAGTGTATCTATTAGAACTATTAATATCATACACTGACAGGCAAAAAATTCCACCCACTTGATTTTTTCATGTTTCATCTAAAAATATTTCTGCTTTGGATTGGTCTATTGTTTTTAATGAATAAATAGGTAATCTTTTTATTTATTTTCAATTAGGAATGTTAATATAGAGGACAATAACCCTTAATCCTTAATTCAACGAAATGATTCTAGATTCCAATGTTTCCAAGATTCCAAAACGAACCATTATTATTCTAAAAGAAATTAATTACATCATCGTTTAGTAGCGTGTGTTTCCTCCTCTTGCCTTCACTACTTCTTGAAGACGCCTCGGCATACTTTCAACCAGTCGGGAAACGTCCCTTTGCTGGAGGATAGTCCATTCCTCCAAAAGAGCCCTTTCAAGGTCCTGCAGTGTATCAGGAAGTGTTGCACGCGCTCTTATTCGTCTTCCGAGGTTATCCCATAAATGCTTAATGGGGTTTAAATCTGGAGAACATGCTGGCCAGGCTAAAACCTCAATATTGTTCTGTCTGTACTATGCGGGCGTGCATTAGAATAGAACGATCGCCAATTTCGTTGAGGATAGGCAACACATAAGGTTCCAAAATCTCATCTACATAGCGAATGGCCGTCAAAGACCCTCCACGAACAACAACCAATTCTGTGCGGCGCTCCATTGTAATCCCAGGCCACACCATTAAGGAACCATGTTAGACAGGTTGGCTCTGGGAAAAATTACAGGCTGCATATCTTTCGTTTCTTCTTCTCCACACCCTTTCACGCCCCTCTGGAGATCGAAGAGCGAATCTTGACTCATCTGTAAAAAGTACAGCACTCCATTCGTCCATAGTCCAATGGTTGCGTTCTCGAGCAAAAGCCAGCCGTGTTACTCTGTGAGTTCTGGTCAACTCTGGTTCTCTCACTGGACGAAAAGCCATTAAATTAATCCATACTCATTTAATCTTCTCCGAGTGGTACGTTCAGAAATTTGCACACCTCGAACTTCTTCGAGCTGATGATTCGCTTGAACAACAGTAAGGTGCCGGTTTCGTAAAATTATCAAAAATCCCGTGGTTCTGTTACCCTAGGCCGTCCAGAACCGGGCCTTCTATTGTAAGAACCAGTTTTCCGAAAACGCCTG